AGCAAACAGGTCCATCCGAACTGTACACCCTCCGAACTGTACACCCTCCGACTGAACTGCGCAGGTCAGGCAGAGCTACCAAAAAGCCCGCCTACCTGCGTGACTACATAACCAGTAGGATTACTCCATAACCTGCATTATATATGCATTCTGTTAGATATTAGCTTCAGCTATAATGGTTTCCACCAAGGTCCTCTGTTCCGGTGGGAACAGAGGTTTAATATCAGTGGTTGAAGGGTCTGACAGCGCCCTATACAAGGGCTGCGGTCGGACTCAACCTTCGCTGGATTGTATATAGTTTCTACTAAGTTAATAAAGAGCTGTTGTTACCGTTGGCCTGTGTGTGCCTTTTCATTACCAGGATCTAACACATTCAAAATATTCCAATACCCTGTTTTGGGAATCTTACAAAAATCAAATCATAGCATTTGGATTTGCACCCTGGTTCAAGATATAAAGATCACACTACATCATGTGTATCATAAATGACAAAGAAAGGATTTATGACAGATTGGGAGTTGTTGTCTGTATATCTGATAAATCTGATAATTTTCCTTTAAGCAGTTGCGTAAGCATTTGATTGGCTGTGTCAAAAAGTAACACAGTTGCTGAAAATTCAAATTGCACGCTATTGTGAGGGAAGGAGTAAACCCCAACTAATTGCACCAAGCTTCTAGTTTTCAATGGAGGCATATTAAAACAGTAAAAAATGGCAGCTTAAGCAGTCTGCAACGAACCCGTCATCCTAATAGTTGGGAAGGAAAATTCTCTTATGCATGCTGTTGCCTAAATCACAATAAATCAGCATTAACTTAAAATAATTAGACATCCCAATATGACCATAAAGCTAGGTTTAGCATATTTGCTGGCCTTTCTTTCCCCCACAAAAGGGCTGAAAGCATTTTTACAAATGTTGTTTTAATCGTCAGAGATGCTGTTTCAAAATGATCGTTTCTATAGAAAATATGGCAGGGTATTTACAAAACAAAATGTTTCTTAATACCCTAGGTGCATTTATGTGTTATTTTCATGGAGAGGGTTGGGTTTCATTTTGCTCAAAAGCTGAAAAGTTGCTTTCTTTTTCAGTTCCTTTTGTGAGGCTCCTGACAAATGCAGAGGCTACATATTTGTCAGAGTCTATTTTCTAAAGTATTCTGTTTATCATCATTTCTTTGTCATCATATAGGTGCTATTTTGGTTGCTGCTGTCAGATTTTCCATTACAAGCACAGATTCAGCAGGAAAGGAGGGGGAGATGTAAGCTGCCCATTAAAATCACCTTTGAGATGAAATTTGGCAGACAAGTCTCAGCACAGAAGTGTTTTTCTTCCTAGCAGAATGTAAATGGGCTTACTCATTTTTTTGCAAGCCATTTTTAAAGGTAGAAGAGGAAGAAGAGAAGGAAAGGAGGGGAGGGAGCAACACATTTTGAACCATATAATGCTGGATAATAGTTTAAAGCAAATACATAGGCTTTTTTTCTCCTTTTTATTGCATTTAAATGCTTCCAAATGCCAATGGATAACAATTTCCTTTCACTACAGACACATAAGATCCATTTCCTGAAAGTATGTTGACAATTTCATGACTTTTTCAGCTACTTGTTATACATTTACAAAGCAATAAGCTAACTGCTGAATTCTGATAAAGATACGTATAATATCAAGCTAGCTGTTGTGAAAATCTGTGATAGATGTTAACAATGCATGCATTTTTCAACATCAGATAAATATTTGTGTGATGGGGGCTTCAGTTCAGGTATGAGAGAGAATGTAATGCATCACCAAACTTTATAAGCTTTTCCACCCACGCTTCTCTATTGCAATAGGCAAAGGTGTTCCTGAAGGCCATACAGAAGTGTTAAGAAACTTATAAAATGGCCTCCAGAATCCATGATATTATATATGGATGTATTCTTGGAGAGTTCCATTATGTGTCCATTTACGTATGTGCTTGACAGCATGTGCTGCTCTTGAATTACATTATCCCAGCTCCCAAGTAACGTGAAGAGAAGTAGAATGTCTTTTGGGGAGAGGAAAGGGGTACACCTATCTTGGCTTCATTCCTCCTCCTCCTTTCTTCTTGTTCTTTTTTTTATTTTACTATGTTGGGTGTATGGGGAAATACAAAGTTCTGCTTTTGCACTTTTGGAGGTCTCAAGCATTGTTATTTGATGATGTTGTAGTCAATGGTGGGATTCAAGTAATTTAACAACAGATTCTCTGCCCTAATGATCAGCTGGGTAGGTGGGGCTCGATGGTCATGTGACTGGGTAGGTGTGGCCAACTCAACATCACTCACGTCAATGGGCGTTTTGCCTTAGCTGTTACAATGTAACAAGGTTTAATTGGAGAGGAGGTTTCTGTAAGCAGGGCAATGAAGATTAGGCTAGAAACAACACCAGAATGTTTCCTTTCTGCCTTCCTTACAGGATTTTTCCTGTAAAATGGAAAAAACAAAACGAGATTCCTTCCAACAACCAGTTTTCCGAACTGCTTAGAAAGTTAACAACCGGTTCTCCTGAATAGGGGCGAACTGGCTGAATCCCACCACTGATTGTAGTGTGTATTGTAATTTAAGAATGAAGACAGAGGCTCTGGTTCGGTAACGCTGTAACCAATTTAATATAACAGTACCTATTAACAAAGT